CAAAGCGTGAATTGAAATCTAATTTAATAATGAAAAAAATATAATAATTAAAAACCCATTTATTTTTTGAATTAGGGAAATGTTATGGAATGCTTTACCTAATGCAAGGTCAAAAAGCGCCAGCTGGGTATTATGCAAACCCCACACGCTCTCTCTCTTTTTCTATTTCCCAATTTCATTATTTGGCACCACTTTTAAACATGATTCATTATCACGGGTTATTGGCTTTTAATCATGAAAATTGGGGGGTGATCAGGGTGAGCAGTATATGTATAATAGGTCAAGTATTTATTTATTTATTTATTTATTTTTGACCATTTTGACAAGGGGCGGGTTCGAAACCCGCCTAGGGAGGAGGGGAGTGCACCAACAAACTGGCTAATGCCAGTAGGCCTCTAGGCTCTGGTGCGGTCAAGTATTTATTTATATTTTTATTTGACTTAAATAATGATAAATATAAGGCTTTAATATATGTTTAATATCTACTCAAGTATTAAAAATTAATGCTGGCTACTCAACCTGTTGAATACAAATATGTTTACAGGTAGACTAATTGACCATTGAATATTATAATTTTAGATAAAATTAAAATATAATTAAACATATTTCAAAATGTAAGAATAGTTGATGGGAAGCAAAGAGGAAAAGAAAAATAATCAGAGCTGTCCGTGATCAACCAAATAATCCATCCAGAGGTCCCACTGCTTTGGAGTTATTTGTTCACAATCACATGTAGAACAGAGCGAAATCGATTCATGATCCTGCATTGGAGAAGAAATTTTTTTCTGAAAGTGACTACTTAGACCTGGTGGCCTGTAAGAATGGTCTATAGTAGGAACACTAGAAATGACTGATAAATAAAGGAATAACCTGCAAATATATGCGCAGATTTGACTCAATTCACTTCACTCCTCCAATTATACGCGATGTCTTTCCAACATGAAGTTTGATTTCTTCCAAGTATTGTCAGGTTTTGGAGTTGTTGACTGATATGGTAGAAATACAAATAGGATGACACTGGATTGGAAAAGCAAACTCATAGCAAACAGTCAAACACTATCCATGAATATATATAATTAACGTGGATTGATTTTTCACTTTTTTTTATCTTTTTTTACTCTTAATAATAATAAATTTATTGAGATTTATGGTACCTCTAGTTAATCTTACCCTACTAATACTTCATCCAACTTTTTGAGAATTCATTTTATAATTTTTTTACTGGGCGAACAAAAACTCAGTGATTTTTTTTTTTCTTTCTGAATAGGTATATATAACTTGCAAGTATATTTCAAGTACATATTAATTAGTCAACAAATTAAAATTTCAAATAGATCAGTAACTTTATCAAATTAATCATGAATTACAAGACAATCAGCATTTGAGACCAACTTTAACTCAATTAACAATTTCAGTACCTAACAAGTTTAAAGAGAAAATAATAGTATTCTCTAGAGTAAAAATAAGCATGGATGTAGTTTCCGTTTTGCTCCAGTTATTGTAGACGTTGAGCAATGGTAAATATCTAATGGCTGCGATAATCTGGTAGAGTAACTTTTTAAATCAAAATTCTATCTGATTTGTTTAATTTCAGGGTGTAATAATTGCCAACTAACAACCCTACAAAAGGATTAACATTTTATTACATTTGAGACTTTTTTTTTTTTTTTGGCTTTTGTTTTCTTCCATACAACCTTTTTAGCCACATGCACGTTACACACAGGTGAATTTCAAACTTTCTTCCATATTCATGATTGGAAATGCCTTTTATTTTACCAAATTTCCTTGCAAAATTATCCTCTTCAGTCCTAATAGCTTAACTTTTATGGATAAGGCTACATTTGTCAATTCAAT